GGGAGCGATCCCGGGGCGGGGCAGACATCGCCGGGCGACGGGCGCTCACAGGGGGCCGGGCCTCCATGTTCTGAAGGGCCGTGAGAGGCCCCTCGGCGCCAGCGCCGATTCGGGCTCCTCCCGCCCCGAGTCTGGGGCTCCAGAGCTTGTCAAAGGGAGAAGGTTCCCGCAGTGGCCCTCACGGAGCCCCCCAGCCCCGCCAGCCGCGGTGCGGGCCTGCGGCCACGTCACCCTGCGGCCCTGCAGCGAGGCCGAGGAAGAGCAGCCCGTGTTATTTAAAGGACAGTACCCAGAAGGGGAGATCCTGCCGTAGCAACCGGTGAGATTTCCTGCATAAATATTGATGAGCCCAGAGGGAAAAGGAAATCAGAAGCTGGCCAGCCAAGTCTGGACGTACCCCGTCGCCGCGGGTCCCGGCGGGGGGCGGCGGCGCCCGGGGCCGACTCCCCACTGCCGTCCACAGAGCACACGCAGACGTGTCCAGTGGGCTCCTCTTTATTACAGCCTTGCACCGCACGCAGAGAAAACGTACCTTTTAAAATCCATGGGGTTTACATCTAGACATCTCTTCGTTTCATGTATTGGGCACAGGCTTCTTTATTTAGCTTAATTTCTTTCTTAAATTTGGGCCTAGTAAATGACAGATCTTTTGCCACTGTCCCGTCATCAACAGCATCTTAACATTTTGGTGACGCTGCTCAGAGAAGGTGTGGAGGGGACAGGTTTAATGCCAGCTGCTCTTCCTTATTCAGCGTTACGATTGCTGGCATAATGTGAAGCTCAGGAGTGTGAGGAATTTTTTTTCTTTTTTTTCTTTTTTTTTTTTTTTAAATGTTCCTGTTGAGATGAGGCCCAAATGTAAAAGAAGAAATATAAAAATACTTTGGAAATAAACTGTGAAGTCTACAAGACAAACACTAAAAATCAACTAAACCTTAACTCTTCCTTTGCTTGCTTTGAAGAAGAGCTTTGGAAAAGATCCTGCTTTCAGTTTGGAACTAGGGAGAAGTCCCATATACGAATTTTCTACATTTGTCCCTTTGCACAGCTTGACAAAGGAAATGGTGGCTTAGGGACACAGCAAGCTAGCATGATGTTTTACATCATGAGACTCCTTTTCCCACTTAATTCCTTCATGTTGAATGAGAAGAGGTAATTTGCAGACATTAAATTTAGATTAAGTCATGACTTGGTAGTAAAACCAGCTTGATCTCATAATAAATATGCCTTCACCTAAGCGAAAACAATTAGAAGATAAAATGATTCTTAAAAGTCAAATAGTACAGTGTTATAGAATATAGCGTAGTGGGAAACAGTGACCAGATAATGGGATATTTGGTTTCTCAGACTCAACAGAATTACACAAAACAAAGCAAACCTAATCTTTTAAGAGATCATTCCCTAAAACTGGGTCAGAAAATGTTGTCTCCCTTTGGCACCAGTTATTAAAACCAAGAAAATCCTTCCTCATAATAAAGTATTTAACAGGATTTCACAGGTGAGAGAAGTACACCAGAAGACATTCAGTTAAAATTAGGAATGCTCATTGATTTACTCTATGCAAACAACCAAGACTTGGGCAAAACTGTTCAAAGTACTTGATAAGTTCACAGAGCTTTCCTAAGTATGTCGTTTCCCACATCATTTTTAAATATTAGTAGAACAGGATCTGAATTGGATACAACCATCCTTATAAAAATGCCAGCCACCTTTCTGTACTACTTTTACCAGTGTCAAGAGGCGAAGATGTTTGTGTCTCCAGGCTGAAGTTAGCTGCTGTTTTCTCAGGCGTGAAGATGAGCTCAACGGGGTCAGCCGGAACCGACTTGGATTTGTTTCAAAAAGCCAGCGTGAAGGAGGATGAAGTGTTCCTTCCAAGGAGATGAGAACGGCAACTCACCTCTAATCGGCGCACTAATGCCTTGGCTTTGGCTATTCGTTTTCTAACTGTAGGATTGGAAGCCTCTCTGCCGAGAGAGGTTGTGCAGTCTCCATCCTTGGAGGTTTTCAAGACCTGACAGGGTAAAGCTCTGAGTAACCTGGCTTGATCTCACAGCTGATGCTGCTTTGAGCAGGAGGTTGGACTACAGACGTCCTTAGGTCCCTTCCAACCTGAGTTATTCTATGATTCTATTATTTTCATCCATTTTACATCTATCATCTTTGGCTTTCTTCAGATATCAAACTGATAAAGACTAGGTTTGAAAGTTCATTTTTACAAAGCATGGCCAGAAAAAAGTTGTGAGTTTAACTACTTTGTATGACTGAGACATATGACCCAGCCAGAAAGAGGTAAAAATCTCTGTACGAGATGAACATATCATGATAACTCTTCAAGGAAAAATGATAAAAATGGTGAGAAATATATATCACAGGCCTATATGCGTTTGCAAAACAAACTGGAACTGCAGAATAACTACCAAAACATGTTTATAGCACTACAGTCTCCAGTGGGCTGCATAATAAGGGCCAAGATGACTTTTGGGCATAGTCTCCACTGGCTGTAAGGTTATATATCATACAGCCTAAGCTGCTCCTTCATGTCTCGTTCAGACATCTCTCCAAATGTGTCACTTTTTTCCTTCATGAGCCTGAAGATGGCAGCCAGCTGCTCTCTCTGAACCCTGTCAAGAAGAAAAGGAGAAGTAGGAATAGCCAGTCCCCAGAAGGCACTTTGAGCAAGAACACCATGGTCAAATGAAACACGAAGCCGAACGCGGGTCATTTTACAAGCCCTGCTGACTGCAGGAAATCTGCCCATGTGAGATGAGAAAGAGAGAGCCTCTGGTTCTTCCTCCACCTTCCCATCTATCCAATCATCCTGCACATCTCCCTGCAGTTCTTTAAATACTGAGATAAAACAGACTGCTTTAAAACCAGCTTTGGATTTTCTTAGGACTTATCTATGCTCAAAGTTTCAGGATAACTCGACGTGGAATTTCATAAGACCAACACGTCCCAGTTTGGCAGACTCCATAATGAAACTGGATTAAGCTTCATCAGCACAGTGTCCTTTCATTCTGAAATGAGAGTATGTAGATACAGAGTGATTCAGGAATAGCTACTAAATTTTAAGTGTATACCCTACCTTAAAACTAGAGACTAGACTACCTTCCAGTGTGGATATGACTTTAATCAGCCACTGGAAGATAAGATCACAGATGGAAATCTGCTTTGATTTGAGGGTTTGTTTGCCAATGTCAAATGGTGAGACAGGCTCATGTGGCCAGTCCAGCAATGCGGTGATCCCTGTGTAGGCAGAGGCTGACCAGCGAACCATCTAGCTCAGATTTCCATCCCTAGAAAGTCCATAGGAGATGATTAACTCCCTTCTCCCCATAACAGATGATATCCTGATTTTTCCTTAACCTGAAGCAGTTAACCGTTGTTGTATGTCCTGCAGCACAAAGATTGGTGTCTATCACAGGGCTTTATTTGAGGAAGCTTTATGGGAGGGCTTATGCTGGTCATACATCTACTGATCATCAGTCAGGGATACAGGAGGGTGGACAGTACAGGAGTGCCATTTGTTCGCAAGTAGCTCATGATGCAACTGATTTTGATGTCTACAAAATCCTCTTTTAGGGCAAAATGAATGTGCACCTTGGATCCAGTCAGGGCTGGCTGTGGGCTGGTTCGTTCTCATTGCCGGACTCCTACCTGATTGAGATCAGATTGCAGTATTGCCTAGCACACCTCATACCTGACTCTCCTGTGTGAGATTAAAAGAACTAATGAGGTTGTGGTGCTTTATGGCTGTAACAAGAGAGAAGCAGTTTCTATTACTTGAAGGCTCATTTTGCCCCTACGTGACTGCGGAGCCAGAATTCAGCGATAGCCCAGCAGCTCAGAGCACAGATCTGCCACAATCCCAGCTCCTCCTGCTTGTTTAGCATCTTTAGACCTCCCCTGAGCTAGAAAGACAGACTCTGGCTTTTACTTCCACATGGTCACCCTGTCAAGAGTCCTCTGTCCCTGTCACAGCCAGCTTTCCGCATAGGACTTTAATACACTGTAATTAATCCATTTAAATGTATGCCATTAATTAACCTGGGGTAGCCTTCCTGCAAGTCCTGTATGGACAAGCTATTAGCTGTTCCAGTAACAGGAGGGGTAGAAACACCTATTGACAGGCAAAACCAGGACACAATCTTTGCTTGAAAGAAGAGAGGACAGCATCAACACATCAGAAGCAACCACACCACGAACAAGATCAATGGAAGGGGACAGTCAGGAACAAGCAGAGGAGCCTTCGCGTGCTGAGCTCCTGCCGAGTGGGGCTCTGCATTTTCCCCTCTCCTGGACTAAGCCCCAGCAGAAGCAGGAACAGGAGGCTGTCCTCCCAGCACCATTGCAGCAGGCAGGGCAGGAAAAAAGCAGATCCTGGCAAAAGAAAGCTCATTTGCCAATTCTTTTCTATTGCAATTAAAATGCAATTGTCCTAAGGCCATATCCTGATAATGATGTGGGATCTTTTGGTTATGAAAGCTCTGGCCACAGGCTGTCAAGCGCCTGGATTTGTCTGTCTCTTCTGTAGTTTTTTGTGCTCACATGAACAGCATCCAACTGCCCTTTCCAGACGAGAGGAAGGGAAGCACAGTCGTTAGTGATCAGTGATCAATATTTTATTTTAGATCACCACTGGGCACCAGAGGGCACATTTCCAGTCTGGTGTGGAGAAATTCAATACACAGCTTTGCCTCACGTGTCTGAAATGCATGCCAGCTGGGAGTGCTCCACACAGGTCTGCATCCCTTGCTCCTTATTTCAGA